TACAATCATACCAACCATGTAATATTGGTTTTTTGTAAATAGTTTTTTTTAATTTGCTCCAGGGAGAAAAAATTGCTAATTTTTTTAATAACATCAAATATATAGCATCTTTTTTTTTTTTTTTTTTTTTGCTCTTTACCTTTTGTTTAATAAATAAGCTTTACAAATAAGTCAAATTTGTTTTGCTTCTAACTCTTCCTTTGCTTGATTTTGCATTATCCTTAATTTATGGACATGAGTGTATATTAGAAATGAAGATTTACATCGTGACCTTCATATTGATTACATATTGATTATATCAAAGACTACTTATCCAAGATAAATGGAAACTTTTTCAGGAAAGCAAAAATCAACAGTACAGCTAACTTTGAGTATATTCTGAGATATGAAATCATCCCGGACGATTTGCTCATCCGACCTTATGCTGCACACTTAATTAGGCAAGCCAAGTGTTACTAGTTGGTACTTCGTGTTGACGCTTCGTGTGCGTCTTTCCTCATCATCTCTTCTGACAAGGATTCCAATCTTGATTTCGACCAATCACAGTGAAGTGCCAGCAGGCTACAAGCCTCTTACGGACTTTTAGGAGTAATTTCTTTGGACTTGTTCTTGTTTGGACCAGTGTTGCAAATAGCTCGTGTCAGCTCCTGAGCTCCAGGCGAAAAATTGCGCCGTAATTCCCCTTTTCTCCTTGCTATTTCTCTCCTCAGAGGAAACTTAATCAGGAATTTTCTATTACTAGGCTCCGCATGGAACTCTTTGCATGACTGGGAAGTATTGCTCCGGCAATAGAAACCCAGTACAATACAGTACATCACAGCTTAGTCCTTCTTTTTCCTGTTTCCATTGCTCCTCGTGTGATGCTCCAGTTCTCATTAGGAGACGTGTTTGTGATGCGTGTCGTCCAGTGTTAAGTGCCGTGGTTCCGGTCCATGTTGGTTTTTCCATGATTAAGAGGCGACGAATCTGAAGTTGTGGTTCCCGGTGAGCAATTGCCGTGGGCTGCATCCTGTTCCAAGGTTAAGCGGTGAAGAATCTCAAGTTGTGTTCCCTGGTGAGCAACTGCCGTGGGCGACATCCTGTTCGAAGGTTAAGCGGCGACGAATGTCAAGTTGTGGTTTCCGGTGAGCAAAAGCTGTAAGGCGGTATCATTAACACAAGCGTTTTTCAAGTCTAGCGGCGATGTTTTTCCAAGCTGTGATCTGCAGTGAGCGGTATTTACAAATTCAAGTACATTCAAGGTTTAATTTTTTTCAGGTGCCTTTTTGGCCAAAAGCATAGACCTATTTGGTCAAGTCAAATTCAGATTTAATCGTGTAGTTTTGTTCTGTGATATGTTCTTCGCGAGTTATTAAATGCCAGTATTCATAGAACAGGTAATATATTTATTGTATCATTAATGTAGTAATATTCTTTAAAAGAAAAACACTTTGGGTTTAATGCATAGTTAACTAAGTGTAATTTTTGACAATGATTATGTTACATTCTTAACTAAGTTTCTGGTATTGATCAAATTTATAGTATTTTTATTTATATATATTGTTAATAAATTGGCTAAGTTTAAAACTTTTGTCATCTATGCCATCCGTCATCATAGAGTTCGCTCGAGACTTAAAGCGTGAAGGTAGTCAGTCCCCTCGCTCTTCATCTCTTGTTACTTTCATAGTCTTTGCGTTTGTGTTACTATGTTTGATCAGATAGCCTAGCTCAGTAAAAGTAGGCGGCCAGTGTAACTCTGATTCAAGACTTATCTTTGAATTATGGAACGAATCCTGAACTTCATCGCAGCTGAAATTATTCGGCTTGAGATCCTCCAGGAAGAGAAAGGAAACCTTACTCCTGATGAGTCACGTGAACTAGACCTCTTCCGACGGTTCCGTGCCGTCGCTGACCTAGAGTTCGTCAAAGCTCGACCAAGACTGCAAGTCTCTGCTTGTAAGGATACAAATTCGAATTTCCCACCGGTTTCCAACATTAAAGCAAATGTTCGACGAGTCCAGAATCCTGCCCGATCTGATGAAAATATAACTAAATATAAAGCATTGGACGAAAGCTCTGACTCAGATGGAGGTGCTCTTGGTGATATGACCAGAAAACCCACATACCAAAGAAAAAGCCAGTCGTCAACAAGACTGCCGAGAAAGCTCCGGATTTGCCCACCACTGAGCCTGTGTCCGAGACCTCATCTCAACATGACATGGATACAAGCCCCGCCCCAAAGGCCACACCTCCAGCCAACCAAAGTGCTCCATTCATCAGTGCAAGAAAACTGCCACCCATACTGGTGAAAGACAGCAGATTAACCAGTTAAAAACTTTCCTCAACAGCAAAAATTTCTCTATGCACGATTATTACGGCGAAAACCTGATGACGGAATTAAAATTCAGGTGAAACTACCCACAATTTACCGACAGATGACTAAGGTGTTAGACGACAAAGGAATTTTATACCATTGCTATGCACTTCAAGAAAAAAAAGCATCTGAAAGTTATTATTCGAAATCTCCCTTCTTACATGAAACCCGACGAAATTATGATGGAACTAAAAGAAAATGGTTTCGACGTGGTGAGAGTAAACCAACTTAAAAGACGCATAGACGGTGAGGTCGCCCTCACTCGGAAGGACAAAAACAAAGATATCTGTAATAACAGATTTGTACTTGGAATGAAGATCAAAATTGAGAGCTACTGTGGCCGCTCTGAACCCTTGCAGTGTTATCGCTGTCAAGGGTTCCACCATGCGCAATCTCACTGCCGACACGAACCGCGCTGTGTTCGTTGCGGAGGATCGCACGAATCCTACTCCACTCCAAAATGTGCCAATTGCTTCGAGTCGTGTCACACTGCAAACTACATGGTTATGCTCGGTTCCCTAAGCCTAAGACTCCTCCACCAGCTAAAACGTACATTGATCGTGTTGTACAAAACAGAGCCTACGCTCAGGCCCTTAATTCCGGTCTTGCCCCGGAATTCATCTCTGAAACTAAGCAAGTTGCTGCTAAGCTTAAAATGCTCGTTTCTGCTCTGAAAGAAGCAGGACTCAATCTTCTAATAAGACCATCTACATCTCAAAATCCTGTTCCCAATAGCACTGTTCATGGATAATTACGCCAGAAAGTGCACTCCCGTAAGATTTATGATATGGAACGCCTCGGGCTCTCCACCAAACTAATGGAGCTTCATCAGTTCTTAAATGAGCATGACGTAGACATTGCACTGATTTCGGAGACGCGGGCTCTCCACCAAACTAACGGAACTTCATCAGTTCTTAAATGAGCATGCCGTAGACATTGCACTGATTTCGGAGACTCATGCCCAGCCCTGTCTTGGAATAAAAATTTCAAACTATTATTCTACCGCTGTGATAGGCTTTCTCACAGAGGTGGTGGTATTGCAATCTATGTAAAACGTAACTTTCCCTCTTGCCTCATACGAGGCTCTAGAAACTAATTGTGAGCAAGTTACTGTGTGTGTCATCCTCCCTACATATAATCATCTTTACTTTTGCGCAGTTTATAATCCTCCTGCAAACAGACTTTAAACACTGCAAACAGACTCCTGCAAAAATGAAATTTTTTTTGGACACTATTTTACCTTCAGATTTACCTACTATCGCCGCTGGCGATTTTAATGCTAGACATACTGACTGAATTGCCGGAAAAGTAATAACAATGGTAAAATACTTCATGAATATATTTCTCAGCATCCAGTGGCAATGCACACCCCCCTGAATACACTAGACGACTCAGCCGGATAGAACTCTCGAACATACTAGATATTACGGTCGCTACTACTATGACACAGCACTTGCGGTGAAGTCTATGAACATAAGTCACGTGATCAAAAAAACTGCAGGAAGTTATTTCCTCTATCGAACAATGGTGCAGTTTCTGGAAAATCCGCATAAATGCCCAAAATTCGCAGCTGCTACTTATAAGGAAAAAGAAACGCAGTGTACCTATAAAGAAAAGTGTTTTCCTTTTTAATGAAGCGGTTCCCATTGTGAAACAGGCAAGATATTTTGGAATTATCATAAACGATAAACTTACTTGGAAACAGCACATTCAGCATGTAAGCGGTAAAGCGGTTAAAGTTATGAAGAGCTTATACCCTATCATCGGGAAGTAATCCAAGCTCACTCTGGGAAAGAAAAGACTCATTTATCAGGCTACAATTCGACCTATTATGTCATATGCTTCCCCCCCCCCCCCGGTCTGGACGTCTGCCACCAAAAGTGACATAAAAAAACTGCAAATAATGCAAAACTGCTTCCTCAGGATAATCACAAATGCTCATCCTTATGTAAAAAAACGTCTTCACGAGGATCTACAGCTACAGAATTTCTTAGGAAAGTAATTACTTCTTTCTATGACTCTGCTAAGCAGTGCAAACATATGAGCATATTCAATTTATTCCACTATGAATTTAGAATGAGTACAGCAATAAAGTCAAAAACAATTGAAAGCTACACTCAGTACTTCTGAGCACAAAACAGTCACCTCGAATCAGAATGAAACTAATTCTCACTGACTGTAGTAATTAAAATTAAATGATGAGAGATATTTTATTATTTGTTAATTGTGCCTATTAAATTGAAAACAATACAATACAAAATTAACAGCTATTATCAGAAAGGTATAAAATGTCAAACAAAATCTGTGTGACAGGAGTTTTAGTTTACTGGTGTGAAGTGAATGCTTTCAAAAACTAAAACTAATTAAATAATGTATAACAAATATTCATGTCTCAAATATTTAACAAAAAAGAAACAATTTAGTACATGATTTGTATCCTTATTACAAATAGTTTAATTAAGAGTTATAACATAAAAAAACTAATTAGTGTAATAATTGCATTCAGAATTAATTACATAAGCTACTTTAAAAAAGTGAGGGTGGATAGCATAAAATCAAAAGCTAGCCATTCTTACAACCGTGCAAAAAATATAAAATTGTAGTTGTATTGATTATGAATTTTGTCTTATAATATAAAGAACATGCATTTCAAACAAATCAAAACATTTTTATTTAAATATGCTTAACTAGATGAATACAGTTTGATAACACTATATGAATACAGACTTAACAAATATTTTAATAGTTCTCAATATTCAAGAATTTATTTACAATTAAAAAAAATCATACACTATACATTAACACGCAATACTGCCCACAAGTAACTCAAAGGATAAAATCTTATCAAAATGATGGAGAATAAACAAGATTTTTTGAGAAATTTCAAAATTTTATCTCTAATTGTCTTATATTTTTAATTTTTATTTAATTCAAGTTGTGCTACACTATATTCATTCTCGGACAAATGCATCATAACTATCTTGATGACTAGTTATTTTCCATAAAGGTACCAGAAAATAGACAGAGATAAATAATGGCACAGCTTTTACAAAAAAATTATTATTTAAAATATTTAGGCAAATTAAAAAAATTAAAAATTTTAAACCTACAGTTCTGAAATTTAATAGTCTAGCACAGAAACTTAAACATTATGATCTTTTAAAATTTGTTTATTAAGACAGATGAAAGCTTTTGTAAAATTTGAACCTGATAATCAAAGAACTAGGCTCACTAAAGATAATAGCAAGATAAGACTGGACATAAATTTTTAAATAATGTACATACTGAAGATTTTCCTGAAGTGTAAAGTTGTTAAAACATTAGTTTTTAGGTTGATTAATTTTTAGATTGATCATGAATGATGATATTTTTTAACTTGCTTAAGGTTCTCCAATTTTTTTTAGGGGAGATACTTATTGTCTTAATTTTGCCACCCTGTTTAAAAATCGAATAAAATTTCAGCTGATTGATTAAAGCTAAATAAAATAATAATAATATTCTGTGATTTTAGTAACTATAGGTTGTGATGAATTTAAAGAAAATATAGCCTATCTGTATTGGAGGGAAAAAATAAGTTTTAAATGTATCTTGAATTAAATCACCAAGAACAATCAGAGATAAAACTGTAAAAATATCCATTTTACAAAGGTGAGTATTTATATGCAGAATTTAAATTTTGATAAAAATATATTCAATATGAATAAGCCATGCATTTCAAGAAATTTTTGATATTTTAGTGACTCACTTTTAATAAAGAAATTTTTTACTGACTTTATTTTTCATTAACTTCTTGTAATTTATCTTTTCTGTCCTTGTAAGTAAAAAACCCTATAAAACGTTATAAAAGTGCATGTTTAATAAAAATTAAGAGTTTCTTCATGGTTTAAGTAAATACTAAACTGGTATTCAAAGTTTATGGCACTCTTTTCCTTCTTTTTGGATTTCCCAGTTTTTTTCATACTCATTCTGACAAGAATGTTTTCAACTTCCTTTAATATATGATTGACTATATTTAAACAGAAATCATAAATTGCTCATATACATTAAATTATCACAAAATTTTGTTGTAATCGAGCTTATTATAAAAGCAAAGAGTCTGTCATCTACAGGAAGGAAAATCCAAGAATTTGCAAATTATTTCAGGTTAAAATGTTATAAAATGATGCATAAAAATGATTTCTATGTGCTATATTGTTTACTTAAAGATTATATCAAAGCAAAATTATATATTTATACTTTTATGCAGCTGAATTCATATACAGTTTCTCCACATTGCAAATATGTAGGAAACATAACATATTTAATATATTTTCTGATTATCTGGGCGCTCACATTGAAAAGTCACAAACCTATTGACTTTAAAGAGCATTTTGAGCTCAGTGACCTTACAGAGAAACTTTTTTTGGGGAAAGAGGGGTTATATCTTTATATTTCAATTATGCATTCAGTGCTCAGCTATTTTTTTTAACACAAAATATGCATACATGTAATTCTTTTTTTTTTTTCATTCTCCATTTATACAGTGATCTATTTTCTCTAAAGCAAAACATTAGAAAATTCAGAAACTTGGGATCGCGCACAACTTCAGCATTGCATACAGCCTTAGTACCAAAATCCTAAAAAGAAAAGGAAAAAGGGGATATGTTGCCTTTAAGTGAGCCATGCTCTAAAAAAATAATCATAAAGCTTTCTCACAAAAAGCTAAGTCTGAGATTTCACAGAAGACAATGAAAACTGCAATATGCAGTTCAATTCATGTAGGAGTGATCATAATCTGCATTCTCAGTGCTGAAAATATTTGGAGAAGTAGAAAATCATTTCTGAGGATGTTATGCACATACTTGGGTTGCCATAAAAAAAATTTAGTGACATGCCTTATCCGTACTTTTCGGTGGGAATACGGATAATCAGGAAAAACTTATTTCTTTACACATTTTTTTAATGTTATATAAAATATCAATACTTATGTATTATCACATCGCCCATAAAAGCTGATGATCAATCACTGAACCATAAAAATTGGTGGAGATTCTAGCAAAGATGCACCTAGTGGTTCTGATGGAATTCTGAAAGAACTGATGCCTCTTTATTTAATAATCACGGCCATAGTGTGTCCACATGCTTTTTGATGCTATAACTCTGATGATAACTAGGATCCTGTAAATCTGATGATAATCTACTGCTTGTTGTTCTGTAGAATGCAAAATTTTAATCTCCCTCCCCCCCAAAAATATGAAAGGAAAAAAATTAAGAAAGAACAGTTAACTTATATTTTTTTCATAAAAACAAAGCATGGCTTTTCAAGAATAAATCGAATGAAAGCACAGATGTTGGAAATCTGACATTATGTCATGTTTTTTCGTAACTGGCACTAAACTATACTGTTTGACAACAGTTTCATGGTCGATGGCATAATACATAAGTACCAAAATTTCCAAATTATTTTCTTGGTATATATAAACCTTTCCTTTAATTTCATACTATATTTAAATGAACTACTTAAATACAATCTAAATTTAAAGAATACTTATATTTAGTTATAAAAACTATTCTTTTTGTCAGTATTATGAGTTCATGATACAGGCTGGTGTATATTTGGAGCATAATAAAATGTTAAAAACCTCTTCTTACAAAAGTAAGCTTTTGTTCACATAATTTTTTCCATAACAAATGAGAACTGAAACTTTACAAATCTATTATTTAAATATGACATATTAAACTTTTTAAAACAAAATTACAAAAAAGAATACATTATAATTGTATAACAATACATTCAGCTAAGAGATTTTAATCCTTTATTAATCGGCAACCAACAAATTCCTAATTATTTTACATGATTCCAATTATTCATATTAAAATTATCCACAATGTCCTCTTAATCTTTTGATAAAGAAATGTGAATACATTTTGCATTAAGTACATATAAATAATTTCAAATAACAACATTTATTTTACTTAAAAAAAGAACTCTAAGGAGGAGGGAGGGTCTATTCTCACATATAAACTTTTATCATAAAAATCTAAACAAGAATAAATTACTATAGCTTTTCAAAACTTAATTTTCAAATATGTAAAATATTTCAGTAAAATTTTTAATAATTCTAAATACTCTAATACATTTTAATATATACATATTTAGTTCTCAAAAACCAGTCATACTGCAACAATTCAGTTTTCATTTTCCATAAATGTTAACTATGAAAGTATTTATACAAGTTCATTTATTTGTAAAAAATTCATGTTGCTGGAAAATGAAAATATTAAACATAAAATGTATCCCTATCCAGATACAGGAACTATAATCATAATTAGATCAATGTTTCAAAAAGAATTATTAAAATAAAAGTGCTAAAATAATTACGAATATTGTAGATTGCTTGTTTGATGTCACAAAATATATTTCATGCTACTAGTTCATAAGTAATTAAAATTCAACATTCACATTTTAAATTGATATGTTTGCCTTTTTAAAATTCATGACAGGATATTTCCGTAATACAGAAAATAAAGGTACTCTTTAAAATAATGAGGAGTATGAAACCATTACAATAATTTCAAATTATATTCGCTGAAAAGGCAACACAATTGAAAAGGAAAATAATTAGAAAAATCATAATATCACAGTTTAGAGTATTGAACTAAATTAGACAGTATTCTTACATGTAACAATGACGCAAAAAATATTTTTTCTCACATTTCATTTATTTGGCATGCTACAGCTATTTGGATTTTAAGATTTTTATTTCATTTGCAAATACTATGTACATTTTTTTTTCTTTATAAATTTGTGAGATAATTTAAACTAAATATGGGCATCTGCAGTATACTGAATTTTGAGAAAACTTAGCTGGTTTAAAATTTAAACTATTGTCAAAAAAAATTTTCTCATCTTCGAAACATTTCATTTAAGTAACAATTTGAAACAGTTTTGAAAACTATTATACACTTGATATTAAACAGGAAAGTCCATTAATTTATTTTAGGTTAGCAACTAAGCTCAATTTCAGATAAAGAATTTCAGATAAAGAAAAATATTTCATTACTTCTTACATGTTTTTGCTCAATTTTTTTTTAATTTACTTACCTTGATTGTTGTGATCATAATTGATCATCGACATAAAATTTGAAGGAAAAAAAATCTTGTAATAAGTAGATTCTATACTCAAATAAACATTTTGCCGTGCTTTTTAAAAAATAGACAAAAAGTGTATGAGCATTAAAAATTTAGTATACAAATTAATCTTCCAATGTAAGACTAATTACTATATATCTTGATTCCAGTTTATCATCTGACGAAAATTCTCCAGCTGATACACACTATTTGATAATCTATAAAAAGAAATTAAAAATTAATTTAACATTATTATATGATTTATATATCCATATTATATGAATATGTCCTATAATTTTCATATCTTAGATCATTGGTTATCAATGAGGATGACACAGTAACATTTTTATGGGTGTCTTAAGCACTTCGAAGACGTTTAAAGCAAGTACAGGTATAAGTGGGATGGGACCAAAAATTCACCATTGGTCGTACAGGTGCAGTTCTGCCACACTAGCTGTCGAACGTTACCCTGATTTTAATGGAGAACGTTCCGGAGGATGATCTGAGGTCTCCCATTTCTCTTTCCCTACCATCAAGCACATGAAAGGCTTTTCAGCTCGCCATGTTTTTAGTATGCTCTCATATTACACAGACGTTATGCAATTACAAATATCCAGAATTCAAACCTGAGCCCAATAATATAGCAGACAGGAATACTAGCTGCTATGTTGATCAAGGCAGCAATACTTAAGGCAGTATTTTCAACCTGCTAATAAAATACATGAAAGGATTGAAAACTCTCATTCACGCTTGATCTGAAAAAAAAAATTATGCTTCCATTGCCCATTAAGGAAATATGATAAAAATAACTTATGACAATTGCAGGGCTAGAAGCAAGAAGAGCCCAGCTCCACTTGATGATTTTGTGTTCATGGTCATTTTTTGGTTAAAAAAAAATCATTCTTTTCATTGGAGAAAAAAAGGCTTAGCTCTGAGTAGTAGTTTAAAAAATCTCAAGAAATGGGACTGGTAATTTTATATGCTTGGAGTAAAAAGGGCTCAGCTCCAAGCAGAAGTTTCAGAAAATCTCATGAAATGGAGGTGGTCGTACAGCCGAGTTGAACCGCAACAGGGTAAAGTTTTGTTTACTTGGTGTTATACTTCATGTCATGATGTTCCTGATTATTTTATGTGTACGAAAAATATATTTTTATATACATTGCGCTTTACTATTTTCTCACATGTGTGACAGAAGTTCAAATAATCCTGAAAATATCAATTCAAGCTCATCTGATGAATTAGTATCCGAGAACAATAGCAACAAACGGTCAAGGAAGAAAAGAAAGGTATTGAATGGGGATCTCTGAAAAACAAATGAAAAATAAGCCGCAATGAAAATAAGAGTTATATTTCAATTCGAGGCACAGTTATTCCTCCTAGAAATACTGGTTCATAGAAAATATGACGTCACAAGCAGTGATGCTGAGGAAACTGAAAGTGTATTCTATAATGAATAATAAAGAGTACTTATATATTCTTCACCAAGTTAGTGATTGTATGTTAAATTGACAAGAATATATCCTGAAATGAAGTTTTCTGAACTTATATACTACTTATATAACCCCTTTTTTTATATTTTGTTTTATTTTTTTCACGTGTTACAAATGTTCTCTTGTTAATTAACCTTCTCTAAGAGGCATTGGCACTTAAATTTTTTATCAACCAAAAATGGGCAATTTATTGAATATTGGAACAATATGAGCTTAGTTCCTAAATTTAAATAATAACGCAGCCTAACTGAACACATAGTTTGCTACAGTAAGAGCCATAAAAATCATTTTTATTAGCATTTTTAATGAGCACAAATGTTTAGAACATAAGTTAAAAAAGGAATTTTTGAAATTTAAAAAAAATTTTCCAGAAAATTTAAAATGTGGAGCTGGGCTTTTCTTGCCGCACACTCTTCAATTTCAAGAAACATTCATTCTGAAAAGCTATTTATTTGAATTGCAGAAAGGAAAAATTATGCAACTTTGTCATAGGATTACAATCAAATAACTGTTACCTTTCACATTTACCTGAGAGAAACCAACCTCATATATGAGCAAGCAACTCCTTTAAAATATAAATATAGCATTGTCCCTAGATTCGAAATGCCCCAAGACTGGAACAACTTGGAATCGAAATGAAAACCTGGAGCAAAATTTTCATTGTGCACATGCAGGATAAAAGATATATCATTCATTCTTTCAAATAATTTTAACAAAGCACATAAAGCACATTTAGCATTATTATCACTTATAACAAATATGTCGAATTTCAGAATGCGCCAATATATAAATTTGCATATATCTCAAGAAATCTTGAATAAAAAGCTCATATTTTTTAAAGGTATGTGCCTAGAAATACATTCACTTTAAGGTGATGGTAAAATTTTTATATGTCACAATTAAAAAAGTTTTTCAAAAAATTTATAAAAATTACTAAAAAATGCAAATTAAAAAAAAAATTCAGAAAATATCTGCAAACTTTGCTTAGAGTGAACATAAACTTTGAATTGTTAAAGAAGGTATCAAGTTTAATAAAAAAAAAGATAATAATTATAAACTAAATTCAATTTACACTGAGAAGCTGCAATTTTGAGCGCTAATTTTTCAGAAACTTTAGTACAATTTTTACCAAACTTTGCACTCTGGCATAATTTGAGTCACAGAATCAAAATATGGGGGGGGGGGAATTGGGTTTTTCATTTCAGAAAAAGTCTGATTTTGTGTCAGAATGACTATGTTCTATATGAATCTAACATAAATCCTGAGTCGCTTCGCAGGCATGAAAAAAACTAGTCAAATTTCATCAATTGGCCCATTACAATGTGAGAAATAGAAATGTTCCATTTTTTTCTTGGGCAAGATGCACTATTCAGAGTCAAGAGACTTTAATAACAATATCATTAAGGACAAAATGTTATGTGGAGAATGAATGTGAAAATAGGGATTTCGAGACTCCTTCACTAAATGAATATATGCAGAGTTTTCTTCTTCAGTTAAGGCTAAAGTCAGAAGAAAAATCTCCCAATGAAAATTCTTCTTATTTTAAACAATACTCCTGAGCATCATGCAGGCCTAGTAGATGATTTGTTTGGTGAGTAGTAGATGCAGGCCTAGATTTGTTTATCAAGATAAAATATTTTGGCCCCTAATATAGAAAAAACTAAGGTAGTCATTGAAAAATGGCACCCTAATTAAAGCTCTTATGAATATGTCAACCTGTAGAAAATTGTTACCACTGAATGTTTTAGAAAAGTTAAAAAAGGTAGTCAACATCAGACCATTTTGAAAAGTTAGTTCACAAAGACACCAAAATGAATGTCTCCAAGCTCCCAACAGATTGATATCTCAGTATATAGTTTACAAATAGTTAATTTGTAAAAAGCATGAAAAAATTATCCAGAATATACCAAAAGACACAACAAGGTTATTTTCCAACACAACAGTGCTCACCCACATGTTCAAAATCAGTCAGGCAGACTCTAGATGCACTTCACTAGGTTTCCCACCTACTATACTCACCAGGTGTTGCTCATTCATATTACCAGTTCTTTCAATCTATACACAGTGGCTTTTATGGTGATCAGTTTTCATAAAAAATCTGCTATGAGAATTCTTTCAACTAATTTTTTTTTTCTTCCTAAAACTTGCTTGCTACTTGACAGATGGGAAATAGTGTACCATCCAGTGGGAAGTACTTTAGACAAATATTTCACTCTGAAAAAAAATGTCTTTCACTTACTTCAAAAAAGGCAGAATTATATCTATACATCCAATATAAAACGCCAGAAAAGAAATCCAGAATCTAAATTGCACTAAGCAAGCTGTTTAGTTTTGTTGCTTTGGGACATATGATTCTGATATGAATTTTAGTTTTACATTTTTTATTATCAGCCTTGATTTTTTATCAAACTTTAAATTGTTGCCCCCAAACTCAACCAGAAAAAATTCAAAAAAGGTGATAGATTTTGTAAAATAGCAGTCTACTCTCTGATGATGACCTGGGATTTTCTACAAAACTCGATCCTCTCCCTTCTCTGTTTTGCAATTTCTATAAAGCAAATGCCCCCCCTTAAACTTGCTAAACACAAAGGGTAAAAGAATCTAACAAATTTAATTTATATATAATACCACATTCTGTAACAGAATTCCCACCATCTTATTTAATGTATGGAAAATTATCTATGATCATCTACTAGAAAATCAAGAGGTAGATCCACCAATTGAAGAAGCTAGAAAAATTGCCCAAAAAATATATGATGATTACCACAATGTAAATGAAGAAATATGACACCCAATATAAACCAGTAATTTTAAAATAGGTGATTTAGTAATGTATGAAGAATTTCAATATCCTGATAATCGGAAACTTTCTCCTCCTTTTTCAAGCCCTTACAAAGTTTTAAAACAATATTCTGAAGTTACTTTTAAAATACACTGCTGGCCATTAAAATTGCAATGCCAGGAAGGAATGATCTGAGGAACAGCAAAAGCACACGAAAGGAAGAAGAGATTGACATGCACAAGTGATTAGTATTTCAGCACATTTAGAGGACGCAGGAGGGAGAAACGACATATGAAGCACTGCACAAAAGAAAAGTTGTGTAGCGCGTTTCTCATTTGGAAAGTACTTTGTAAGGTTGGAGTTTGCTCAGAAAAATCACGTTATGCCTTGAATAAGAAGAGGAAATGCTTACCAGTAAGTGTCGGAATTTGATAGAGGCAGGATCATTGTCTATCAAGAGTGTGGATTATTGTTCCGTGATATCGCCCATCTCACCAGTCGACATTCAACTACTGTCCTGCGAATATGGACTCAATAGGTTGCTGAGGGTCATACTGAACAGCATGCAGGATGTCAATGCCCTCCAAACTGTACAACAATATAATGGACCATTAGTCAGGAAATGGGCATGCTAGCATGCCCAGTATCTGCTCGTATGGTGCATCGACATTTGCAACAGCGTGAACTATCAGCACAGCGACCATTACTTGACAATGCACCATAGAGAGGCTTCCCTTGACAATGCACCATAGAGAGATGGCGACTCTGGTGAATCAAACAACAAAGCTGGGTATAGGAGTGGCAAAATATCTTATCAGACAAGTCCCGGTTTTGAGTGTAGTATTCTGATACCAATATATGTGTCTGGAGGCTCCTAGGAGACTGCACATGATCTGCTTTCATTCGATATTGGCATACAGACCCTGCACCTGGTGTGATGGTTTGGGCAGCCACTGGATACACAACATTAACATCTCTAGTTCAGATGCACAATAATTTGAAAGCAGATCACTACATGTTTGACATCTTATGTCCAGTGGTTGTGCCCTACCTTCAAGGCCTGCCAAATGCCATCTTCCAACAAGGTAATGCAAGACCACATGTTGCATGTCATGTTCTGACCTTCACTGATACACTGGGTATTCAATTTCTGCCATGGCCTGCAAGGTCTCCAGATCTGTCACCCACTGAAAACATCTGGTCATGGGCTGCTGAAAGACTGGCCCGCCATCCTTCTCCAGCTAAAATGGTTGATGAAGTGTGGCATAAACTTGAAGCAGCATGGAACGAGTAGCCCGTTTCTGTCATTGAAGCCCAGTTCGACTTTATGCCAAACTGGATAAGGGCCATTTTTGCTGCCAGGAGTGGTAGCTGTTTCTACTGATTTTACACCCCTGTAAACTCTAAAATTGCTTACAAATTCAATCATTTGTCTTCCTCCCATATTGTTTACATACAATAGATATCTTTTTTGTATTTGCTTTCCTTCATAGTGTTACAATTTAATTGGCCAGATAAGCCTAATCCTCTAACTAAAAAGAAATCAGAAATTGTTCCTTCAACCACACTCAGACCTTTTAACCCAACTAGTGAATTTAAATTAACTGCTAGAAATAGATGAATCCCTGTTTCTGTGCAAAATTAATTTATTTTAGTTTTCTAAATTCTGCATTAAATTTCTTTTTCCGATTTTGATATTTTAAAAGCTAATCAAGACTTTGAAACCTAATTAACCTGAATAACCTGAATTAGACTTTTCCAAGTCTGTCTCCTTTCCTATCTTGCCTTTCCTTCTTCCCAGTTTTTCCGTTCAAAATTTGTTGTATACGTTCCCCATCAGCCCAGGAGAGGAAATCTCCAAAACCACATTTTTCTTGAACATCTGGATTTAATACCAGATTCTCAATCAAAGACAATACATTTTTATTTTTTTATCTGACATGAGTTTTTACACTATGTGTATTACTCCTTGCATCCTTTCTTTAGGAAGGATACAAGAAACAATAGCACATGCCCACTGTCCCCAAACACTACTCACTAGCAACTACATCATTCCTTTTCCTAGCTTCTGCCATGCAAATGTCTCTATGCTGCTATGTCCTTCTTTGTTCTTATTCTAAGATGATGTAACTTGTATATAAAAATTTTTGTAATTTCTTATGATCGAAAAATATATTGTCTCTAAAGAAATGATTCTGATGTTCCTAAAAATAAAGACTGGTGATTTGTCAACAATTTAGTTTTGGTTTACACATCCATATATTCAATAACGCAAACTACAAGCTACAGCGCATCAAAATATCCACCCTTGGCCATGTCTACAGTCAGAAGTTAAAATTCCTTCTACATAATTAAAATACTACATACATATGTAAAATATAAAAAAATATGATGGCTTTGCTCTATGCAAACAGGCAAACTCTACTTAACCTATTAGCCGCTGGTGTTGCAACGGTCAAAATAAATGCGTATATAAAGATAACTACCTAAGATATTTTATACCAGCAGATGATTTTATGCAGGGAATATTATGAAGATTATTTCTATAAAAATATATTTGCCTTCAACAATTATTTTGTTTATAATAATTAATCTCATATTTTAAGCAAAATTTTCGACCGGGTATTTCTGCTGAAAATATTTAACGAAAGAATCGCCGTCTTTACGAGTGATCTACTTTTAGTCAAGGTCACCGTTTATCAGAGCATTACATCAGTTAGATGTTTATATTTGTGTTGGGAAGCAAGAGAAAACAGGTGTTGCGCTGACGCAACGTCAGCAGGAAACGTGTAGTCAATCATATTTTTCACTCATTCCTTTCGATGTTCTGGTTCATGTTCTGGTTGTTTAAAAATGCCTAGAATGAGGTATCTTACATTAGAAGAAGAAGCCCTTCAAGATTTTTTTTTTTTGATGAAGAAAAGAAGAAACAGATGATGATAATATTAATTATGACCAGAATGAAACTGATATTGTTGTTGTTTCACCAGAAATTGCAGAAACTAGTGATGAAGAAGAAAGGAAATGATAATCTTTGGAATAATTGAAATAATGATATTTTTACCAAATGATACTGCTGGGAAGTTGAAATTGGAGTTCACGTAAGAAGGTAAGTTTCAGCCTTCTAAAAACAGTGCCAGTCGCACGAAAAAGTTTAAAAAACAGAAAGATCAGAAGATTGAAATCTTGAAGTGGATAAAAAAGGAACTGTTAGTTATGTCTTAGGAAGAACATGAAGAAAGAGATAGAAGAGAAATTAAAAAAGAAAGTAGAAAGAAATTAAAAAAGACGAAACACAAGTTAAAAATTAGTGCACATATTTTCGATTTTTGTTTTGGTTTAGACATTTACTCTCTTCTCATTGAACAGACAAATATATACGCTCAGCAGAAAAAAAAAGCCCAGAATTTATTGCATTTGTAGCCTATATGAGAAGATTTATTGGAATATTATTGCTTACAGGATATTATTCTTTACCTCAAGAAAAAATGTATTGGTCTTTTTTGATAAGGATATTTCTGTTCCTGTTGTACGAGAATCGATATAATGTTTGCAGTACAGGAATATGAAGCCGAATTTGCATTTGACAATAGTCAAAATTGACAATACTGATAAATTATATGAAGTGAGACCGTATCTAAACTTACTAAATATCACTACTTTTTACTACTGGGAACATAAAGTCTCTTTTAGATTTCAGACACGAGAATGCATTATTCCTTTTGCAAACTCCTATCGAGAGTGTAGAATTAGCCAGAAATATATCAGCAACAGGAAGACCTAGTTAATTCAGCATTCAAAAACCATTGCGTGGAGATGGTAGACATTTTATCGTAAAGTCCGTTGATAACAAAAAACTTTATTGTAAAGAGTACCATAGCCAGACTGTTTATAGATGCAAAGTATGTAATGTAGCTTTACATCATGAAGCTTTTTATGCTTGAATCTTTCAATTGAAATAATATGTATTTGTAACTGAAATACAATGTATATTTTAATATTAAATTAATTACAAGTAAAGTGATTTGTAGATTTATAAAACGCTATACAGCTAAAAAGTAAATCCTGCACTCCACTCAAAAGAAACATCACACGAGTACAATACCACTCACTAAATATCCATAGTCTTATTCCGCTGACGTTGCGCGAACGCTACACTCGCGTTTTCCACAGGTAGGAGCATTTTTTTTTATTTTCAATGTAAATTTATGTTATAAATGCTTAATTTAATATTTGTTATTATTTTCATGAGAAAAGAAACATTCCTTGCAGTTTTGGCGGTTAATGGGTTAACTTTCTGCAATTTCAGGATATCCCCCCTAGACCAGTACTTTTGAGAACATGTAACCGTTAGTATAAATAGCAAGTACACATAATTTTTTAGTCAGACTGCTCCCTACTATTGCTGCTACAAGACTGTATTGCTCTGTCTATCTTTCTTCCCTTTGTTAAAATAGTTACAATGTCAAAAGATTTCATCTTATTTAGTTTTAAAACACTATTTGATATGTAATTCGGAGAATTTCATCTAAAAGAAAAAATTATCTGCCATTTGAATTAAATGAAGATGTGCAATTAAAAGCAAAATCGTTCCGTGTCATTATTCTGCTGTATGCCACTCAGCAAAACAATGCCCGGACTCTGATGCCAAGCTTCATGATTCCTGTGCCTATCCACAAAATCATCACACATATATAAACAGTTATATGTATTTGTGTATGTGTGTGGGTATTTATTATATTTGTAGGTATGCATGTGTGTATATATGTATGTATCTATACACATAAAATATTACTTATCACTGAAACTTACCTTCCAAATGCATTAAATAATGATACAATTTCAGTTCGTGATAACCGGAAATGTTTTCTGCTTCCATTTGAATATTGTGACAAATCCTCCGCGAACAAAATCTTAAAAGCAGTGCCCAGTCCTTGGACCTAAAAAAACATTATGTTATTAAAAAATGTAAATTTTAATTTTAACAAATTTATGGCATTGTCATTACCATACAGGAATATTAATAGAAGAATATACATAATTATATTTATATAAAGGATGCATGGTAACTTCTGTGTAAACTACTGAAATCTAACTGGAAAAGAAACTGCTGTTATTTACTATATGAATGCTTCAATTTGTGATGCACTTTATTTCCAAACTGAAACTTTGGCTAAATGGTGACAAACCATCAACTGGTATTGCTTCATATCTTTGCTTCACATATTACTTGTTTTCCCAATGTATCACACCTTTCATTATAATTACACTGCTCGACATTGAAAATGCAACACAAAGGAGTGGTCAGAAAGTGATGAAATTTGGAAAAAAGAGACAGCAAGCCGCAATAAGTAATCTTTATTTCAAAATGACAGAATACACAGCGAGAATGGCATCGGCTCAGTAGGATGTAGGACAACCGCGGACAGCGATGCACGAAGAAACACATCTAGGCATAGAGTTAATAAGAGTTCGGATGGTGTCCTGAAGTATGGCTCTCCATTCCCTTTCAGCCATTTGCCACAGTTCGTCTTCTGAACGAGGCAGGGGCAGAGTCTGCAAACGACGTCCAATCACATCCCACAATTGGTTCGGAGAGTTGGTGTGACAGGTCAGGAGAGTATGGTGGCCAGGGAAGCATCTGTATACCTTGCAGAGCATATTGGCAGATGCAAGCATTGTGTGGTCGGGCGTTATCTTGCTGAAAAATTGCATTATTCAGCTCTTGAAGGAAGAGGATTGCCACCGGCCGCAGTACATTATCTAAGTATCGTTGGACTGTCATAGTGCCCTGAATACAAACTAGAGGTGACCTGGAATCGTAGGCAATAGCGGCCCAAACGATTATCGCGCAATGGAGCATCTCACAGTTACTGCCGGATTAGATCTGTCTCCATGTTGACGCCACACACCTATGTGGCGACTGTCACTGGATAAACAGAAGCGTGACTCATCTGAGAACACGACGTCTCGCCATCCTATCATCCACATCGCTCCAGTCCGGCATCATTCTAAATGTTGGCGTCTATGCTGTGGAGTCAATGGCAATCTTCTTAATGGATGCCGTGAATGCAGGCCATGTTCAACCAATCGACGGGAAATGGTTCTGGTCAACACAGGAACATCCAGGATATCTTGCACATGCTGCAGAATCACGGTACAAGTGACTTGCAGGACCGCCACAGCTTGTCGGCGGATGCGTCGATCCACGCATGCTGACGTCACTCTGGCTGCACCTGCAACCCCTCCTTCTTCTCACATTTCGTTGTCCTAACCATGTTCGCCATAGCTGATGCACCGTGCTCGCATCCATGTGGGCTGCTGCGATTTGACGTAAGGACCAACCTGCCTTTCTCAGTCCGATCACCATAGCCCTCGTAAAATCGTCTATCTGCTGGAAGTGCCTTCGTTGATGGTGGCTTGGCATTCTCTCCTATTACACATATCCTCCGGGACAAATACCAACTTTCTTCGATAATTCGTCCGGCAGAAATACCGACATGAATATTGCCCATTCTGCACGTTCCTTCCCTTATATCTTACTTCCCGTGCGTCAGAGAGCTGTGCATTTCACATCATTTGCATAAATCAGTGACGTGTCGGTTACTCTAAAATTTGCATAAATTTCTGACCACTCTTCTCGGTGTTGCATTTCAATGTCGAACAGTGTATATTGAAATCATGTCAATAATTGTATAAGGCCTATGTACCAGTGTTCGCTGACTAAAACTGTATTAGAATCTCTAATTTATTTTTGTTAAAACTATTACATTGTTGCATTTCAATGTCGAACAGTGTATATTGAAATCATGTCAATAATTGTATAAGGCCTATGTACCAGTGTTCGCTGACTAAAACTGTATTAGAATCTCTAATTTATTTTTTGTTAAAACTAATTTTCCTTTTAAAAAATACTGCAATATTTCTAAAAATTTCAATCATTTAATGCAGAAGCACTTAATTCTCACAATGTTTTAATTTTTTCTGACATTAAACTTTTTCATTTTTTAGCTTAAATAAATAAGCTTCTAAATTTTTATCCTAAACTGTAAAATGGTATACTGAGTTCCATAAAAGCTGAAGAGATTCCATTGTGACAATGCAAGTGCTCTGTGGACATCCACAATCATTTGAACTCTAAAAGCTCTACTTGGAATTCATGACTTGCATAGCTTAAATAGTAGTGTATTAGAACTTTTTGTGTGCTATAAAGGAATTAAAATCACTAGCCCCATGACCTCTACCTGTTATCATAATAACAGGTATTATTTAAATTGCTAATGTCTGTAATAAATTCCATTCCTAGAAATTGTTGACGAACTTTCTTCTAATCATTTATTTGTGTTAAACTTCTATGGATTTTACCCTATCATCACACTTACATGAAAAACTATGAACTGCAGCAAATTCATTCATCCTATGGGTGAAGCAGGCTGCACTCCCTCAAGTGTAAATAGTTTTGATTATCGAAAGATGATGCTACCATCGCACATGAAACATAACATGCTTTTGATTTTCTAAAAGGGGAGAAAAGGGCAGTTCGGGTTCGAAAATGCTATTAGTAAAAGTGAAAGATCTAAAGTGATGACAGTAACTTCTCACTGTCAACCAAAAAAGTGAGTATAAATCTGGCAGAATAAATCTTCAGACAATTTTGGCATCCATTCCTAATTATGAACACTTAGAGAAAGTTAGACTGTTGTATGATAATGGTTAAAAGTGTAGTTTTGTCAGTGAAGCTGCTTTGAAAAAAATTAAAGCTCAAACCTTCAAAAAGTACTTTCAGTATATGCCTTTGGTGGGAAAATTCTTATAGAGAAAGCTTTTAATATCATAAGAATTAGACTGGAAAGCAACGATGACCTGAATTTCTTTAAGGAGGTCGAGTTGCTAGAAAGCGGAAATATTTCGTCTGCACATATGCTGTTTCCAGATACAGATTTGTTAAATACCATTAAAAATATGATAGATTTGAAATTATGAGACTCTTGCAAAGGATATCAAAATGATAACATTGGCTGATTACTATTGTTTATTTCTAACAGGAAAGGCTAAATGTATTAATAAGGAACTCATTGCAATTAAAACATTATTTAGATGGTGCTTATTGGATAAAGGTGACAGCACGTCTTCCGATTTCCTCATAATGAAAGTAATTACAGAAGAAAATTTGAAATGTTCTAAAGAAATTCAAAATTCTGGCAACTGAAAAATTAAGGGAATAGACTTAAAATGGGAACTTCTGATCCATCATATTGCAAAACACAGCATGGATCTGAAAGCTGTATCGAACATCAAAATAGTCATTACAAAGTTAAATTACCATGAAAATCTGATGTGAAACATTTATTGGAAGAAAACTCTGAAATTGCTTATAAAAGATTTTTAAAACTTTGCTAAAAATTTCAGAATATAAAAAGATAATGGATAACTATTTGATCCGAAACATTGCTAAACCTGCTTGTGAGGATACCAGAAAAAGAAAATAAAGATTCCATATTTTATTTGACCATAGAGCAGTTATTTATAATGACAATGTAGAGCAAGGTTCGCAGAGTGTTTGACACTTTGTGTCGCACACCAGAAAATCTTCTCTTGGATAGTTGTAGACCTAATTTGCATCCTGATTTATTCAAACTTTTATTGAAATTTAGAGAATATCTTGTAGCTTTCGCATAAAACAGGCATTTCTTCAAATCCAAATAGAAAAGCAAGATAGATACATCACATAGTTTTTTTGGCCTCATTCTCCTATTTCATGTTTCAAGATGTCTATAAATTACCAGTTTTGTTTGGAATTAAAAATTTCCCTTTCTTACTCAGTGCTACAATAAAACACCATCTAAAAAGGTATCTCAGTAAATTTCCTATCACTTCAAAATTACCGAGTCAATCATGCTATGTTGATGATATAACTGCTGGCTCTGAAGAGATGTAGAAAGTGCTTTCATTACAAACAAAGAATTTATAAAAATTTTTGAAGAAGCTAGTAACATTTGAAAAAGAATGAGCATTTGCAAAGATGGCAAACATACTCTGAAAAAGAGAAAGCTGTGGCAGGAAAATGTTATGTCAACAAAAATATATGAGGAACATCTACTTTCTCTTCAGAGGAATTGGGTGTCGTTTGGGACACTGAGAGAGAAACTTTTTATTTCAACACTCATTATTTACATGACTTTCTCTCAAAGCAGATAACTTCTAAATGTTTTCTGCTACTGGAATTTTACCGCTCTAAAATCATGAATTTGGCAAAATAATCTCAAAATTAAAGCTAATTTTAGTATTTATATCTTAGCACCTTTTTTAGTCTTTTAAAAAAATTTTAGAGGCCAAAGGAAGATTAGAGCATTCTAGTTTGTTTTTTGATAAAAAAATTCTCCCCAGACTCTTTGCTTGTGAAATGGTTAGTAGAAAATATATGTTAAAATAATGCATGGAAGGGGGGAGGTATTAATGACTTTGGCTGAAATTTGAAATTTTTGGTCATTTTTGGATTTGGAAAGAAAAGGACATCAGATTATTAAGGTGATAATGTATTATTTATAAAAAATATTCAGTGAAACTTGCTGATCAAACCATCTCCCAAATGCCAGAACAGAGAATCAACCACACTGCACCATTCTACATGGGCGGCATCGATTTTGCTGATCCAATTTACGTAAAACATTGAAAGGAGTAAAAAATCTTAGTACAGTCAAAAGTCGTTAATTCGGACACCCATAATCCGGAATGATCTCTAATCCGGACCTCAAAGCTACAAACTTTCTGCGCATGCGTTGCGTTGCCACAAGGGCGTAAGACTTTTACGGCTGCGAATATGCGCGTGCGCATGTGCGTAATACGTTTACGCTCGCGCGTTTAGTGTATAACGGACGGTATAAGCTAAAATTATCTAATTCAGTCAATGTTGCAGATAGCGTTGTTCCTGAATCTTCAA